TGTCAGTTTCCCTGACCACCATTCAAGTATCACAAATTTTAATAATTAGTAGCTTACTTCATTAATTAAAGGCTTTATGTTCTACTCTAAAACTACATGGGTTTTATATGCCAAAATGAAAAGATTTAATATGAGCTTCTTTAAATAATATCTGCATAATAGTTTGTTTTACATTTGAATTAAAATTACACAAAGAAAATTACACAAAGAAATGTCAATAAACCTCTTAACAATGGTGGCTGTTTATTAGATACATTAATAATTATATAAAAACGCATTTCAGTTACTGTTCTATCCAAAATGGTAACTGAAACCACATTAGTTTTGAAATTGCAATAAAAACCAAGTTAGAAGTTAGAGTACAAGTATTCATTTTAAAAAAACAAGATATAAAGTTGTCACTTCTACATTTCTCTTTCTGCTTTACATTTCTTTGTTTCTGATTGTTGTCTTTTCAATTTTGGCTTCTTCACTTAGCCTTGCTTTAGCATCTTCAAGGTGTTTAATTTCTCTCCTTCATCTGAGTTGGTTCATGTTGCTTATGGTGTCTAAGGTCCAAGTGTATTCAAGATATCATTGTAAACCTAATGTTGATTTATTAACTGAAAATGAAAAGCTCAGTGGTTTAGGAATCTGGCTGCAGAGCCAGAGGCTGGGATTTCCATTTTTCACTGAGCCTCATGTGAGAAGAATCAGGCTGTGTACCTTTGGACAACTTGAGATGCCCCCAGAGGAAGGGAATGGTAAGCTACTTCTGTATATTGTCTGTCTAAGAAACCCTAGAAAGGGTTGCCATAAGTCAAAACTGACATGACGGCATGCAGTGATGATAAATAACCAAAAAATCCACTTTCAAACAGAAGTATTACCATGTGTGTAGGCATCCTTCAGTCTCGAGAGACTATGGTATCGTGCTCTGTATGGAGGTCTTGGAACAGTGTCTTGTGTGGCTGAGAAGGCCAATTCGAGAGTGACAGTCCCTTCCACACTGGAGACAAATCCAATCTGTCCCCTGTCCAGCTCCCTGGTTTTGCTTGTTTCGGGACTGCCTCTTTGCCTCAGTCTGCTGTACAAGTGTCTCTTCAAATTGGGAGAGGCCATGATGCACCGCCTGCCTCCAGGCTGAACGCTCAGACGTCAAGGTTTCCCATCTGTTGAGGTCCATTCCTAAGGCCTTCAGATCCCGCTTGCAGATGTCCTTGTAACGCAGCTGTGGTCTCCCTCGGGGGCGGCTTCCCTGCACTAATTCTCCATACAGGAGATCTTTTGGAATCCGACCATCAGCCATTCTCACGACGTGCCCAAGCCAACGTAGACGGCGCTGTTTCAATATTGTATACATGGTCATACATTCCCTTGATGTTACCATTAGACAGGATAAGGCACATTTTGACCACATTCCACAGATCTGAGAAACCATTGTGGGCCATCAAAATACCACTGCAAAATGCAACCAGTTCAACCTCATAATCTTGTTTTGCAATGTATGCTTCAAAGTCAGCTTTGAATTCATTGTGATAAGCTGTGGCTAAAGCAGTGTATTGCCCTGATAGTTCTACTATTTTATCATTTATTTTATTGGCTGCACATATAAGTGTAAATACAGTCCCTACTCTGCAGAGTCCCAAGATTTGGCTTGTGCATAATAATTATAGCAGGATTTAATATTGATAGGTCATGAGACTGCAAAGGGCTTCTCTCAATCAGCTTTTCAGAGGCAGCCACTACTATGTTTTTGAATCCTAGGTAAAAATTGCACCTGATATTCACTCCATTTAATTTATTTTAACAGCTTCTTTGCTGCAAAGCCAGTGTTGACCTTGCTTCTGGCAAGCAAGTGCTTAGACAGTTTTATAACCATTGTTAACTAGGAACTTGAAGACACACTTTTCAGCTTTTTCTGATTTTATGTAACGTCTTGTTAGTCCACAAAGCTCTTTGCACACAAACAGATCACAATGTTTGTGTTTTGTCTGTTTTGTTTTGCAACCTTTGGAGAAACAGTTTACAATCCCCATCAGTTGCTTCCATGAAAGCCATTTTGCACTTCATGAGTGGATCTGACCTTGCAGGTTTTATGCAACTTTCAGGTTTACATATTCCTTGATGCCACAAACACCAGCAGCCTATCAAGGCATTTAACATTCCCAATTACCTAGTGGAACAAAACTTCTGAAGAAATTGTGTGCTTCAAGTCAAGGCCATGGATGATGTCCTTGTAGCTGGGGAATCTTTGAACAGATAATATATGTTGCACAACGTATGAATTCATGTCTAATTTTGCTGCTTGAAATCCTGATTTTTTAAAAAAACCATATGCAACATGAAAACTACAGGTTCCAAAGTCAATCACTTCTTTATCTTCTGCTTTCTGGTCAACACTGGCTTTCACTCCTTTTAAAAAAAGGTGATTTATATTTCACCCTTTCATAATTACTTGTAATAATTTTGTAAGTGATAATGAAGACATGCCTTTTTGAAACTTTGGCATATCTATCTCTTTTGAACGATCTTGCTAAAAACTTTCATCAAAACAGGTAACAAATGCTTCATATTGTTTCAGCGAAAGATTGGGGAAATATGGTGCCAAGCCAAAAGTGAAACCATATATAGTATTGCTTTTGTTTTTCTATGATGGAACTGTTGGGCTATTTGAGAACATCTGCTTGGAAAATTCAGCGATGTTGCAAGAGTTAAATGACATCACCATTGCAAAACTCACAGGCACTCTGCTGTCTGACAGTTCTTGATTACACGGGCCGCCATACTAGTCTATGTGCAGGTCTTTGCCTTTTTCATCACTCTGAACGTGGCTTGCAGGTTTTTGCAGAGGCTGTGTCTTAATCCTCTATGCTTTTACTATCTGAACTTGTACTAGACTTTGAACCAATGAAGTAGACCCTTAAACTGAGTTAATTTTCAGGTAGCAGACTTTTTGCATGAGAGTCCACAGCTCTTAAATTCCATAATGCTTAATTCAAATGTTTTTATAGTACACTTTGCAATAACCTTTGCATTTATCTTCAGCAACTGGTGATAGTCATGGAACAAGCCAGCACGAAATTTGATGTCTAGCCATTGCATATTAAAAACTGACCTCTTCAGTGCTATCTTCAAAAACATACTGTAGTTTCAAATACAGCCTTCACTGGCCTGTCACCTTAATATAGTCAATTTGTTCTCTCTGGCAAGTAGCAACTTTGCAAAGTTGGGACCAGTTTTCTGTATTCCTGAAAGTATAATAAGCAAATCAGTAGGAAGGGGTGAAGTCTAACTGCCTAGATCAGGGGTCTCAAACTCAATTTACCTGGGGGCCTCTGGAGGCAGAGGCTGGGGGAGGATGGGCCGCATCTGATTCTCCGCCAAGCGGAGCAAGAGCCCGAGGAAGCCGCCCAGCAGTTTCCTTAGCCAGCAGACGGGCCGGCTGGCTGGCAGGCTGCAGTTCTGGATGGAGGGTGCAAGTGGCACTGTCTTGGGAGAGAGTCGTTGAGCGAGGCTTTTTTTTTACTCTTGACAGCAGTGGACGCGTGGGTGCTTCGGGGGGGCAGGCAAGGCAGGGGCCGCAAACTATTGTCCGGCGGGCCGCAAATGGCCCCCAGGCCACATGTTTGAGACCCCTGGCCTAGATGAAGCCCTCATCTGCGCACTTTATGCATGGAAGCCACAATGGAACTGGTTTAGAGAGCTAATTCTCTATAAACTCCAACTGGAACAAACAATCCATTTGCAAGCTTTATTTTGCATGGTGAAGGGAAAATACTAGTTGTCACAAAATCAAATAGCACCAGAACTAATTTATAACTCAGTTCTGAGTTTTGCAGGAGAAAACCTCAATTCCATGTAGTACTATGGGTATTTGCAGCATTGCTCCATCTTCTGTTGGGTAAAAATAAATACACAAGGGCCAAGTTTTAAACTCTTTTTGTTCCATGGCTTATTTGAATTTTTCTGTCAGTTTATCCATTAATACTGCCTCCCATATTTGTTTATATCAATTTGCTAGGGAAAGACTGTCCAACCTTCAGTTGTTGAGCTATTTCAAGAATGATGTGCTGTAAAGTCGTCATCATGACTTGTCTTTTTCCTCCCTGCAACCTATGTTTGAGCTTATGGGTGGGCCTGAACGTGTTTATGAGTAAGAAAGGTCAGATTACTCATGTTGATACAATACTGGTTTTTCCAGTAACGATGTATGGGAAGTGAGAGCTGGACCATAAAGAAGGCTGACCACCGAAGATTTGATGCTTTTGAATTGTGGTGCTGGAGGAGACTCTTGAAAGTCCCCTGGACACAAGGAGAGCAAACCCATCCATTTTGAAAGAAATCAACCCTGAGTACTCACTGGAAGGACAGATCCTAAAGCTGAGGTTCCAATACAGGTACTTTGGCCACCTCATGAGAAGACTCCCTGGAAAAGACCTGATGTTGGGAAAGTGTGAAGGCAAGAGAAGGGGATGACAGAGGATGAGATGGTTGGACAGTGTCATCGAAGTGACCAACATGACTTTGCCCAAACTCTGGGAGGCAGTGGAAGACGGGAGGGCCTGGCGTACTCTGGTCCATGGGGTCACAAAGAGTTGGACACGACTTAACGACTAAACAATGGCAATGGGTTCAAATGCAGGATTCAGAGAAAATGTAAAATGTCATTGAAATCCTCCCCCTAACCATCATCTTAGAACTGCAGACCTGGAAATGTCTGAATCAGTTCAGATTCTAGAGAGGGAGAGTACCTCTGCCTACACAATGAGTTTTAATGCTACTTCGCCCACCCCCCATTATGCGGATTCATTCAGTCTCTAAATGTGAAGCGATAAAGAATTATTTCAGAGTACACAGAATGTCCCTTTTCCCCCACAGAGCACCCAGGGGCGAATCCACACATATGTAGGATGCAGGGCGGGGTCAGCTGCACTGGTAACTTCATGAGGGAAAGTACGAAGAAGGCTTAGGTGGTTGCAGGTTAATGCACTTTATTTTCTTAAATATAAATGAACGAAATGAACAGTTGAGGAAGAGAAGCTGACGTTCACACCTACTTTCCGGAAACTAGTCTGAAAGCAGAACAACGAACATTGACCCAGACGAACCCCCTTCCTTGCCCTTGTCAGGGTCTGTTGGTTATCCACGCAGGCTTTAATTTTGACACCAAGTCCTCTTGCAGTGATGATTTTCTGCAAAGTCGTTACTCTATGCGCGCGAGGAGAAGGGTGTCGAGAGGTAAAAGAGAACCGTGTTCTTGCACCCGCTGAAAAGTCGTGCAGAGGGCATGCTCCGCACGCCAAACTGCGACACACCCGTCGAAAAGTCCCTTTTAGCGCCAGACCACCGTCCTGCAGGAACGGCCCTTCTTCTGAGCACCGGAGGCTACATCGAAGCTACAGAGCATCATGCACGTTTAAGGTAAAAAAAAAGCAAACAAACAAAAAGACGAAAACGACATCCTAGGAGAGAGCGAGATGACATAACAAAAGATTTATATGTCGCCTCAAAAGACACAGCTCCTGCGCCTAGTTGAACCTGCATAAGGCTAGTCTGCCTGTTTGCAACCTTACGGCATACGACTTGGGGTGGGGGGGGGAAGGAAGCCCCATTTTGGGGAAATTGCTTTGCGACCTACGTAGGCACAAGGCTACCTCTGGCGCGGCAACAAAACAAAAAGCAAACAAACACACAAAACCCAGCGGCGGAGGAAGGAAACGAGTACAGCCGCCCTTCTGTGCCGCACCCTCGGCCCTCCACGCGCCCAGAGTTTGGAAGGGAGACACGTGTCTCTCTCACTCTCTCTCTCTCCGAGGAACGTGGCGTGAGTGCATCGCGGGCGCGGATTGGCTGGCTGCTTCAGAAGCGGCTCTGGCTGGGGCTTTCCGCAGGGAGGCGCGCCGCTCTGCCCGCCGGGGAGGTGCAGCAAGAAGGGGCCACAGCAGCCGCCGGTGTTTGGGGGTGCTTGGCGCCGGTGTTCGCTTTAGGGAGCCGGTGGTTGTGGAAGGGCGACCGTGAGGGCTGAGGGACAAACCACTCCCAATCAGCCGGGATATGGAGACAGTCGGGCAGCATGTTCTAGACGAGAGGGTGAGGAAAGAAGCCAGGAAATGGAGGAGCCCCCCCTCAGGGTTGCGGGACTCAGAGAGAGAGAGGGAGGGAGAGGGCGTGAGGAGGGGTGAAAAGGAGTGGCCAGGAAATGGAGGAGCCCCCCTCAGGGTTGCGGGACTCAGAGAGGGGGGGGAGGGAGGGAGAGAGAGGGCGTGAGGAGGGGTGAAAAGGAGTGTAGGGGAGCCCATTGCTTGGAGGAGATTATTTGAGGCAGCAGTGGTGGATGTAATGGTTTTACTTCATAATATTAACTATTTATTTAGAATCCTTCTTTCCTTTAAGAAATTTAAAGCAATATAGCTATTCTCCACCCCACATTTTGTCCTCCCAGCACAACCTCCGGGGGGGGGTGTCAAGTGAGTGGGGAGGCGCACATTGAATCTAATGCCTCAGCCCTGACTGAAGTCTGAGTTTCTTCAGCACGACATTGGTACATGGAGGAATATTCTGCATTAATTTTTTATTTATTGTATTTATTGTATTTATACCCCGCTTATCTAGTCATTTCGACGACAAATCCATCTTCTAGGCTCTGGAAACATGTATATTTATTTTCTGCAGTAAAGTACTGTACGCTCTGGAAACATGTATACAGGTATTTATTTTCTGCAGTAAAGTACTGTACGTATATGTAACAGGTTGTTTTGTATTCCAGCTGGTGGAATTCAGGCTTTTGGTCTCCAAATTAATTTTTCTGTAGGACTGAAGTCAAAACTGTTATGAAAAATTACATGAAAATGCAACAGATTTTGAAATAAGAGTAAAACACAGGTCAATTAAGCCTGTGTTAATAAAATTCTAGATATAAACTCCCACACTGCCTGTTGTGGACATGTTGTTAAACACTGAAGCCAATAATAGTGTATGTGTGGGTAGTGATGGTCTGAATTTGTTGCTATCTTCCCGAGTAGACTGAATTGAATGTTAACAGTCAAGTAATGTTTAGTTGGACGTACTACAGTATGTCCCGCTAGTTTCAATATGAATTCCTAGTAACAATATATCCACACTTGTCTTCTGTTTTCCACACTGGACCTTTGAGTTCTGGTTAAGACTGGAGACAAAAGTCTACTGGTAGTAGTTACTTGTTTTTGTTTTTAAGAACAAAATATCTGTATTTTTTTTCCTTTTTCCTAGTAGCCTTGTTATGTGCATCGAATGGCTACTCCGTCTGTCCAACTTTTCTTCTGCTAGGAATTAAGTTTCTCACAAACTATAGACTTGGAGGGGGGCATCCTTTTCATGTTTTTTTCCTGCCCACTCTCAATTTCTGCAATTTCATATAACCTCCAGTCTGTTAAGAGTGCTGTGTAAATCAAAAACGTAATCAGAGCTTTTGACTGTTTAGTCTTAATAAAATCATTATTTAATGGTGACTCATTTCCCCCCTTCTTTATCAAGCAAATAGACCTAACTCTGTAACCTCAATTTTTTTTCTCTTAATCTTCATTTTGGGGAGTGCTCAGGAGCTATCTAAGAAACTTCAGGTTTCTCCAAAAACAATTTGAAAAATATGACAGCAGTGTTGTACCAAAAGTAGTTTTGACAGTTGTTTTAAAGTACCATATAGGCATTTGTCAATTTTTTTTCTTCATTTGACCTATGGTCTGCCTTTTCCCTGAACTGAGACTCAAGGCAGCTCACAAGATTAAAATAAGTATAAATTAAAATATGTATAAGTGAAAAGAGATAAAATGTTATGATGTTAAAGCACTCTGAATAAGAAAAGTAAATTGTAGTAGTAAAACATGACTAGGGAATGAAAAAGAAAAAAAATTCAAAATGACTTCAACACAGGAAAACGATGACAGCTTCCCCAGATTGTTAGTTGCCAAAAGCCCCTTCGACACAGGAAAACCTTCCCCAGATCGTTAGTTGCCCAAAGCCTCTAAAATGAAAACATCCATCCATTCATTCACTCACTCATTCATTGATTCAACTTCTGTACCACCCATCTGGCTACCTCTGGGTGGTTCACAACATGATAAAATAAGCAACACTTTAATAAACATAAACAATTATAAAAAAATTAAACTTCCCAATCCACAAATGCCAAAGACAATATCAAAATAACCAAAACTAATTCAAAAAGGTAAGTTGGCAAGACAGGTGATATAACTACTGAAAAAGCCTCTGTGCTATGATGGTGTAATCTCCAGGAAACCCTGTCTAAACCATATTTTCAAGGATTGTTTGAAAATTCACAGTGAAATATATTTGTCTGTGGAAGGGGAAAGGGCTAACCTAGCTTTCCTTGGAAGGATGCTCTTTCATCTGGGAGCAGTCACAGAGAAGATTTTCACTTGTGTTGCCACTGGATGTGGCTATGAGGGTGCTAAGAAACAGAGAATGGCCTGCTCCAGAGAATGGCCTGCTCGGAAGCTCCTAGAGCCCACACATACTTGTTTAGGGGAGTAGGGGCCTCCAGGTAGGCTGGCTAAAGTCTTACAGAGCTTTTTGTAGGCTATAACTAGCGTTGTTAAGCGGTATATAATGAAGTCATCTGGTCCAACAGCCACTCTACACACAATAATGGCAAAACCTGGTTCTGTTCGTCCATAGTCACTATCATAGTCATGGAGGATGACTGACTGTTGTGTTCACAAAAGCCCTTTGCACATCAAATAATAGTTTCCCTTCATGCTTTGAATCTCTGGAGATTCTTTCCTGATGCATAGTGTTTCCAAATACAGTATGTTGCCCTTATACTGTACTAAGTTCTTTGAGGTTTCTCCCACATACGCAAACAGCATATGACACTGAATATATTGTTAGGAATCCCAGAAGTTTTGAATTAAAAAACAATAGTGGATAGCAAAGCAAGAGGAGGTGTAAAAGTTCCTGCCCACCTGAGGTCTTGGCAATAGTCATACTCCTCCACTGTTACTCATCTTGGGAGGGATGGGAGCACTCTACTCATTAATTAAGACACAAACGGATGGGCTTCCTAATGGGCTGTTCAATATCACATCTAACATGTCTCTGACTTAAGAACTTTAACACTGTGTTTTGATACGTCACTAAGTTGCCCAGAAATTTATTCATTAAATGTATTCACAGCAGTAGCTACGGGAAGTCTAACACCACCCCAGAATATTACTGGCCTATTGACTGGATCCATAAGTTTTGGTTTCAGGTATCGGAAGATGTAACAAGCCATTCATTGAGATCATAGAGGGTCACCGTTACCATTAATGTACAAGGTTAGATGGCCATACTGTCTTACTTGCATAGGGCATCTTCCTATGTGGGTAGTGATGAAAGAGTTAGTTTTTACTAGTTAATTTTTATATAATCTCTGTTTTACATAAAATTTGTTTTTCTCCTGTACACCACCCAGAGTAACAATCTGCTAGAAGATGGGCAGTATATAAATATATCAAACAAACAAACCAACAAATGAGGTAGTGTTATTGTGCTGAAGAGTGCTAGGATGATCTGCCTGCTTTTTGTGGTCTCCCCTGACTTTACTTCCCTAGAGTTTTTTTCTAAAGTTGATTTCAGACCTTTCCCTTTTTATTTGTTTATTGTTTTGAACCTAGGGAAAAAGTGAGTACTATATCATGAAGAATGAAGTTTGAACAGTCTGGATACAGGTCTGTGGGATTTTTGTATATTTAGGTAAAGTTCATAGAAATCATAGAAAAGTGAAGTTGGAAGGGGCCTACAAGGCCATCAAATCCAACCCCCTGCTCAGTGCAGGAATACAATCAAAGCATATCTGCCAGGTGATTATCTCCATTTTTCTTGAATGCCTCCAATATTGGAGCACTCACTAACTCCTGAGGTAACTGGTTCCTCTGTCATACTGCTCTAACAATTAGGAAGTTTTTCCTGATATTCAACTGCAATCTGGCTTCCTTTAACTTGAGCCCATTGTTGCGTGTCCTGCACTCTGGGATGATCGAGAACAGATCTTGCTCCTCTTCTGTATGACAGCCTTTCAAATGTATTTGAAAAGACCTATTGTATCACCACTCGGTCTTCTTTTCTCAAGGCTAAACATGCCCAGTTCTTTCAGCCTTTCCTCGTATGGCTTGTTTTTTTAGCTCCCTGATCATCCTTGTCACCCTCCTCTGAGCTTGTTCCAATTTGTTAGCATCCTTCTTTAAGTGTGGTGCCCAGAACTGGACATAATACTCAAAGTGAGGCCTAACCAGTGCTGAATAGAGGGGGACTAGCACCTTGTGGGATTTGGGAACTATACAGTACTTCTATTAAGGCAGCCTAAAATAGCATTTGCCTTTTTTGTAGCCACATCACTTTGTTGGCTCATATTTAGCTTGTGATCTACAACAACTTCAAGATCCTTCTCACTCGTTGTTTTGCTGAGCCAGGTATCCCCCATCTTATAACTGTGCAGTTGGTTTCTTTTTCTGAGGTGCAGGACTTTGCACTTACCCTAGCTGAATTTCATTCTGTTGCTTCCAGCCCAGTGCTCCATCCTATCAAGGTCATTTTGAATTTTTTGTGTGTGTGTCTTCTAAGGTATTAGCTATTCTGCCCAATTTTGTATCGTGTGCATATTTGACAAGCATTCTTTGCACTCTCTCATCCAAGTTTTTAAATCAAGTGATGCCTTGCTTTAAAAAACAAAGCAAGAGATTTGGTCAATATAACTACACGATTTCCTGGGAGGCTTACATTTTGAGGTTTCAGAAACTGATTAACACGGTGTCCCTGGGCCAATACCTGGAAAAAAAAAACATCACCACATTTCTTTATGAGAGGTGTTGGGCTTGGTTTAATAAGATTTACAGGAGGAGGCTAATAATTCCCATCAGATATTGTCAGTTTTTATCACCAACAACATTAATTTTGAGTCACCACGGTATAAAAAAAACGCAAACTGGCCCAAAATTCATCAGTGTGAGCATAAAATGTAATAGAACCAAACTTTTCAAAAAGAAAGAGATAGCAACCAAAACCTCAAAAAATGATCCTGATTTATTGCCCATCTTATGAGGATTCCTATAAGACATAATCATTCAACTTCTCAAACAGCCATTTCTGCCCTTCAGGCAATGATTGATGGATCTGCCTTTATTGGATTAGAAGAAACCAAAGTGGTAAAGAATATGAAGATTTTTGATTGGAGTCCTGAAAAAGGTATTTAATGTCAGTGTTGGGGAGGCTGAGAAATTTAATCTTAAAAGGCTTACAAGAGAAGTCCTGGGTCTGGGGAAAGGATGTGCTTTGCATGCACAGATCATGAGAGGGTCCTCAGACAGCAAGACTGGAAAAAAGAGCCAGGAGAGACATTGCCTTTTGGTAGTGGTTTAGTAGGGGGTGGACTCTTGTTGTCAGGCAATTGAAGGTATAAAACTTAAGAGCTATGATGTTGTAGCAAGAAAATGTAACTCAAGACAGGCCAGGGGTGCTTATCTCCCAAGCGATCACAAACCATCACGGTGGCTGGTGAGAGTCTAATGACAGGGACCTTTGGAGAAGAGACTGTTTTTAAATACTGATGGGAAAACAAAGCAAAACCTTCACTTGGAGAATGTTTTCTTCATCTGAACATGAGGTTGCTTAAGGTGTATCTTCCAAGTGCCTGAGATGTTGCAGTGTTGTGTTCACTTGCCTCCCCCTCTAGGCCTTCAACAGGGTTTTTGATATTTTAAGTCCACTGTGATGGGGTCAGAAATTTAATCACAGCTAGCGCATAGTATGAAAATGCAACACTTTTGCTTGCTAAAGATGTAGACATGTAAGAGAATTTGGGATGATTTGACATGTTATGATGGGTTCAGAAATCATGGCTTACTAAGGTAAAGTTAATAAGGAGCAGTACATGTTAAGCTTTGAGAACAGAAAACAATCAGGTGTAAAATCCTGATATTCCATTATTCATAAAGTTGCTAGGGAGAATGGCCTTCTAGATGTTATTGGACCACATCTTCCATCATCCTCAGCTGTGCTGAGTAGGTCTGATGAGACATGGCAGTTCCAAAATGTCAGAAGGGACATGTCTCTCCCCCCCCCCAAAAAAAAACCCTTGCTATACAGATTGCGTCAAATATGAGATTACAATTGTTTCCCAAGGCACTGGCTAGACTAATTTACTAGGCTAAAGTAAATTTCTACTAGCATAAGCCCATCTGAATCTGTGGAGCTTACAGAGGAGTTGACTCACTGAATCCTAGCTGATTCCGTGTAGTGCAGCTTACCATGCTATAAGCAACAGGATTTTAGCCAATAAGTCAAGAAGAAAATGAGTCTTCTTACCTAACTTTAATCCACCAAACTCCCTTAAAGGTATTGGTCCTTTAAGTTGACTCACTGAATCCTAGCTGGTTCAGTGTAGTGCAGCTTACCATGCTATAAGCAACAGGATTTTAGCCAATAAGTCAAGAAGAAAATGAGTCTTCTTACCTAACTTTAATCCACCAAACTCCCTTAAAGGTATTGGTCCCATTCACTGTTTGATTTCATCAAACCTTTCCTTTCTATAGATCGGACAGAAAATGTGGTGGAAAAAGTGAGAGGCACTTTTGAGGCTGAATTTGAAGACCTGGACTCTGATAATAAAGCCTGGGAATTAGATGTTAGAGCCACACCAACAGATACAACAGCTGCACCCCAGTATGAGGAAGAGAACTGGGATAAAGAGCTGGCAGAGAGTGAAAATGATCATCCTTATGGTAGGTGAGAGTCCTAATTTTTTCCTAAATAAATGCTGGAAAACCAGGTGCCTGAATTGGAGGTGTATTGCCATACGTATTCTGTGAAGCTGGAATTAATACTTAACACTCCTCAATGCTTTCTCCATTAAAGAAAATGGAAAGTGGACTTTGGAAAGTGTTTTTCAAAATAAGAAGGGAGATGACCTTGAGGAAGATGTTCAATCCTTGAGCTGGCAGGCTCAATACATTCAGGTATACTACACTTGTATTTCATAAAAGCAGAAAACATAGTTTTATCACATAACAGGGAGCTGAATCACTCTTGAGCTGAGGATGAGTTTACCTATTTGGCTCATGTGTTAATATAGCCAATACATTTGCAAACAGATTGCTTTTTAAAAAGCATAGTCTTGCCTCTTGTCTGTCTCTAATTGGAACCTTCTACAACAGTGGTTCCCAATTTTGAGGCTCTGGGTGTTCTTGGACTACAACTCCCAGAAGCCTTCACCACTAGCTGTGTTGGCCAGGAGATCTATCTCACATACTACTGGACAATGTTGTCTTCCATTGATTAGGCAAAGTAAGACAATTTTTCTGTTCCATGCATCTTTGAGACCTTGTATATTATAATTATTAACTGACATTAAATAGTTGTAAAGAGATAATGTAGGACTGATTTAATAAGTATTTCCAAAAATGCAGGAGACTCTGAAGCACTCAATGCTGCTGGACCATATTTAGATATCAGTAGATGTTGCAATTGTAAATACAGTGGTGCCTCGACTTACGAACTTAATTGGTTCCGGAACTCCGGTCGTAACTCGAAATGGTCGTAACTCGAAGCACCATTTCCCGTAGGAATGCATTGAGATGCAATTAATCCATTCTGGCCGAAGAAAAAATCACCAAAACAAAACAAAAACACACCAACATACAAATCTCATCGAGAACGCGATTAATCCGTTCCGGCTGAAGGGGGGAAAAAGCAAAGCAAACAAACCGTGCAAGACTCTTCAGAAATGCAAAAAAAGCAAAGCAGAAAGCAAGCAAACCGTGCACGAGGAAATAGTTCCAAACACAATTCAAATATAAGAGGTGAAAGAGGGCAGCCTTGTCTCTGGCACCCCTTTCTAGAAGAAATGGTGTGGAGAAGATATTGTTAGTTAATATTCTGAATCTTAGAAATGAGTTAAAAATCCAAATCCATTTCAGAAATTCAGGAGGGAGACCAAACTTAGTAAGTACATGCAAAATAGCCAATATATTTTGTCAAAAGCCTTTTCTGCATCAAGTGAAATAATAGCAGCCTATTCAGGTCTCTAGTCATTCAAAGCAATCAAATCCACTACCAGTCTCAACTTTGTATGAACTCAGCCTGGTCCAAATGTACCAAGGTTGTAATTACTTTTGAAATCTATTGGCTAGTGCAACAGTTAATATTTTGGCATCAGTGTTTGTTCAGTTTGCACATTATGTGTAGTCTTTGCCAAGCTTGGGAATCATAATGATATAGGCATTAATTATACAATGAGGGTGCTCAGGCCTTTTTTTCATACATCTCATTGTAAACTTGTAGTAACTTTGGAATTTAGAAGTCTGAAAAAGAAAATTAATGCATTCCACAACCAGAATGAGAAAGTAACCGTCTGGATCTGTGATGATTTGCTAAATTTGAAAAGAAACACACTTAGAATCAGTATTGCCACCGTTTTGATCTGTTAGATGTTAAGAGAGACTTTTAAAAAAACCTCCATCATACTTTCCTATGGCAACTTGTTCTTCTACCCATGCTGTTACCCAGTTAAGACAATTAGCTCAGAAATACAAAACTACATCCAGAACTGCTAAACTACCTTTTTTCCTTAGTTCTCTACATTGACTGAAAATATTCTCTGGCTTGCTTTGCATGCTCATTCTCCGCAGGTGCAGAAATAATTTACAATACGTGTGGGTGAAATGCTAAAGTTTATTGGAATAAATCTTCCTTCCCTTTTCTCAGTAATTTTATGGCCGTAACACTTTTTGGAACTCTACACTTTTCCTTTGCCTTTTCTCTTTCTTCTCTTAAAGAGATACTGTACTCAACAATTAAATAAGAGGTAAAGGCAAATCTGTACACAGTTGATATAGTGTTTCTCTTTTTGATGATGGAAAGCACATGTAAAGCTACCCTCATATTCATAGACCTACAGGCTCCTCAGCTAGAAGAGTAATGGCGTTCCGTGTCTAGTCGTGCTGGGCACATGTAAAGCTCCCTCATATTCATAGACCTACAAGATGCTCACCTAGAAGAGTAATGGCGTTCCGAGTCTAGTCGTGCCGGCCATGTGACCACGGAGACTGTCTACGGACAAACGCTGGCTCTACAGCTTGGAAACGGGGATGAGCACCACCCCCTAGAGTTGGACACAACTGGACAATTTGTCAAGGGAAAAACCACTTTTTAAAAATTTTGGGAAAATTTTTTTAGAGATGTTCTATGGATGTGTGAGGATGGTTCCAATTTTTCTTCTTCATCATCTATAGTGGGAGTGTAGACTTGAATGATGATAGGTTTTCCCAAAAGCTTGATTTATATTATACAGTCAGAACTTACATTATAGCCCCTAACTGTCTGTGCAACATCTTTCTCAGTATTTAAGCAACTTTATTTCTTCTGATTTTTTAAATTTACACTTTGTAATTGCCTGATTGAAAATATCTTAATCATTTCCATTGTAATTCACTTGCACAAAGTACAGCAATGTTTAAATGTTCCCTTTCTTGCTTTACAGTTTCCAGTTTACCTTGATTTGTACTTCTCAGGTTCCCTGTTCTAATTGTATATATTGTAAAGCATCGGATTTTCCTTTTACTTCTGTGCATGTCAGCCACTAGATATCCTTCTAGCTGAAATGTCTTATCCAGCTTAAAGACTGGTGGAGACTGCTGGATAGTTCAGTGGTATAAGTATTGGGTTGCAGAGCCAGAGGTTGGGAGTTCAGATTCCCAGTGTGCCTCCTAGACAGGGGCTGCATTTGATGTTCCATAGACTCCCTTCCAGCTCTGCAATTCTAAGATTATTCTAAGATTATAGTTGCATCACTAACACCAGCACTATTTGTACTTGTCCTTTGCTTTTCTCCAGTACTTGACACGAATGTCTTCTGATTTAGAATTCTCATCTTGCAAAACTATTTCTTGATTCATTTTGGATTGCCTTATCATAGGGCTTTCAAAGTAAGAAATATTTAGCAGTGATTTACCTTTGCCACCTTTTGTGCAGTTATAACAAAAGTTAGCTCGAGTGTCATTGCTTTTGTCAGTGAAAGGTCCTCTGCCAGTGTCACCTTCTGCTAATGCCCAGTAGCAACCCTCCAGGAGCTTCTTTATCCCATCTTCTCTTCTGCTGATGGGCTCATTTATCTTGAAGAGGGTGGGTGCCTCTTATTCTGGTGCTTCAGCTGTGACCATTTTGCCCTGGGCAACCCTGCTAGGAGTCCGGGCTCATAATGGGACTCTAGCCTCCTGATGGCCTTGCTCTGAGCTTCAGTGACACATTCAACCCCCTTCACCACATTATGATGTGTATCCAAGAGAGGGTTTATTTAGAGTATGCATGGGTACTGCTCTGGTGTGTTGGGAAGTATGGTGCTTTCCAGGCCTAAATGTGCAGTTCAGTCTTTGGACCAGGAATGTGGATGATGCCAGGTTGGGAAACTTTCTCCCTTCTAGTTGGACTCTTCCAGCATCTCACATGTTTGGGAAAAACCTGATCACAAGCAAGCAGAGAAGCTAGTCCATAGTGAACATCCCAGCAGCCATTACTGTTTATCTTTATTGCCCTTCTCCTACAAAGTTGTGCCACACTTTGTGGCATCTGTTTGAGGAGGCAGAAAGCAGATATCTGGAGGAGCAGCAAGGAAGCAGCAGCAAAGCATTGGAAGGGAGAGCAGTGTTTGCTAGGTGGTTTGCCCCAACACCTGTGAGTGTACTGAAAGATGTTTTTTTCCACTGCCATTGTAAAAAATTCATTTAATATTTAGTCTACTAAGGTTCTGTGCATGGAATATAGGAAAGAACAACATCTTATTTTTTTGTCTTGAGCAGCAAAATATCGTGGGTTAGTCTTTCTTCCTTCTGGCTTCTTGCTTCTCCTTTTTGACTTAAAAATATTGTAGTTCCCCTCTTACTAAATAATAATATTATAATTGTGTATTCTGATCTTTTCTAGGATTTTCTAGGTATAGAGTACACAAAAGTAGCTTACTGTTCCATTCTTCTGGGGATACTCTGGGACTGTGCAGCTTGCCCAAGGCTGCACAGGTTGGTTCTGCTCCTGGGAGGCACAGTGGAGAACTGAACTCCCAACCTCTGGCTCTACAGCCAAGTACTTAACTCTTGGAACTGTTCATCCAGCCATCTTCCTACTGTACTTGTTTGAAAACAGAAGACTGGATTTTTAATAATTCTAAAACATAGATTTCAGGTTATTATTGGAACCTTCTCTCCCACGTGTTCATATTATAATGCCTAAAGCAGTGGTTCCCAAACTTTTTTGAGTCACTAACCCTTTTTATAATAGCTAGGTAACCCGAGAGTTACCATCACCATGTTTGTATAAAAAGGCATTTTAATAGGATAAAGTCATCATTTCTCAGAATGTCCTGCCCCCACCCCCCGGGCCTGTATCTCATATATACATGCTAACTTTTAATATCCCACTCTGAAAGTTCAAGGAAGAAATTATTTAACAAGGGCTACAGAACGTATAAGGTGACCCACAGCCTCCCAAAAAACTTTGTGACCCCTGGGGGGGGTCATGTCCCCCGGATTGGGAAACACTGGCCTAGAGGGATCGTATATCTTTGAAGTTGTATTCTAATCTTAGTTATACTTTTTCTCCTTCATTCTTTCATATTATTTATTATAGAAACTGAAAAACCTTTTTCAACTACTGTAGAGGAAGAATAATGGGAAAGTGGTTTTTAGAAATTGGTCATTTCCTGTCCTCTTGCGAGTATTAACTTCCCGAAACTTGTTTTAATCAAAGGAACCATCTGGGAAGTTGTTCAATCTTACATAACATATTGCAGTACTAATGACAGCATAGGTGAAGTGAAGCAGGAAACAGAATGAGTTACTGATTGGCAGAAGAGTTTATGTTCTGCTGATGGGTAGACAGTAAAATGACTTAATTCATAAAATGAAAGCTAGAAAAGGTGTTGGGGCTGGAAATACTGGGTTCTCTTGCAGTATTATTTTGCTCGGCTTCTCAGGTCGAAATGTCTTTGTAACATATGTAGCCCTAATAAGCTCTGTTCTTTTCTAAAAGTGATTTGACTTCAATGAACAGAGGAAATGTCAAATAAGGGGAAAAATAAGCATTTGTACTAATAAGCACTCAGTGAGTTATTACTATGCTTTTTCCTCTTGATTTAGCTTTCTTATCAAATGGGTGTAAGAAAAACACTTACCAGGACAGTCATCAGTGTTGTTATGAATATAAAATGGGTCACTTCTAGCTATAACACACAAAGTTTCTTTGAGAAAATGTGGAATATAAATGTGTGGCGTAGCATTACTTTGCTGAAAAGTCAGTAGAGCTTTCCTACCTGGCACGAATGCTTAGGATTATGGCTTGAACCTAATGAAACCAACAAAATATGTATGTTAACTTACTGCATTGACTTAAAAAATATTCCTAAATTGCTTCTTCAGATTTTGAAGATGCAATCCACATTGCAAGTTTCTTGGATCAAGATCCAGCAACATCATGTTCCACTCAAGAAAGACCTTTGTATGACCCAAGTTTTCACCATGCGGCATCACTGACTTTGAACCTGACACAGGTCACACCAGTGGATGGCCAGTTTGATGACGCTGTTGACTGATGCATGCTCAGCCTTGGGGCAGATGCGTCACTTCTAAACAGAATCCTTCACGAAGCTGAGCTGAAAAACAAGAGGAACCCTTTTGTGCTCTGAAGGTTTGAATCTTGTCAAAGACCAGAGCAACACAAGATTAAGGATATAACTGAGTAACAATTATGGAGCAAAATTTTGCTTTAAATAATCACATAAATGGTTTTGGTTTATTATTTTAAAGTTGCTGGTGTGGTTGCTGCTGTTGTTAAATTGCTCATTTTTTTCTTTCCTGTCACCTGTACAGTATTATTTTATTTGACGTGCTTGACTAAGCTGAGGTGTCAGTATGTATTATTTCCATATTATAAACTCAGTATTGTGTTTGCTGTAACTTATTTTTTTGATATAAAAGAGCACCAGTGTGCAGGAGGCAATTACTTTGACAGGATAATTTCTGAAAAATACAGGTTATTTGGTTTTGTACACTGTGTACACAAGTGCGTTATTTAACATAGAAATTGGAAGAAGTGCTGATTTACCATATTGCCTAACACCTGAATGTCCACTTTTCACTGATTTATTTATACATACAGTATTGGAGACCTTATCACCAATGCTTTCCAGAGGCAGTTATTGATTGTCACCCTTATATCTCTTAGCAATGATTATTCTCAGCTATCCTCATTCTATTACAAGAGTAGGAAAGTGGATGGGGTCTTATCTGTATGTTTAAGCATTTGGAATTTGTAAGACCTATAGGGAAAGGACATGGCAGAATTCCTCTTGCATGAGGGTAAGTACGTTGGCTGTGATTAACTATCATTTCTTATTACTTGCATGAGTTTTCTGCTACTGCCTGAGAAAAGCTCTGAAATCGTGGGATTCCTTGGAGAGGCCAGTAGCAGTGGTGACTGCAACATTCATGAGGAGGTGAGTCTGTCTTTAGTGGTGCATCCAGTTTCTTGAAACTGTGAAGCACCTATCCTGCCCCTGTGCCTTTTCCCTAGATAGAAAATCATGTAGGGAACCATTAACTGAGGACCAGCCTTAGCCAACGGTTGAATTAAATACCAGGGAGAGATCTCTGATAGAATACAACAGGCAGTCTTTAGTTATGAAGCATATCACCGGTGAGGAGGATGTCTGCCTGTTAACAATGAGGCCTGTTAACCATGTGTTCCGTTAACCAAGTGTTCCTCCTCCTCCCCAGAGGCATGTCCTTTTATTAAGAATCATCATTTACATAAAAGATAAGAGATAGCCAATGAAACGTCGTATTCTACACATTCCAGAAATTCCACACATGCGCAGAGAGAGAATCACAGAACAATGTTTGGTTAGGCTAAGCACCACCGTTGTACCCCTTAATAGCCATAAGATGGAGCTCTAAACTAAGATCCTTGTCACTACATTCCCTCCATTTTTATTATATTTTGGCCAAGTAAAATGCTGCCAATAAGACTCTGATGACTCCTGATTCCATAAAACCTCTTCAGTGACGGAGGGAAATGAATCTATGTCATCCAACCAATATGTTGTGCATAAAAATCCTCATCGACTCTAGAAAGTAACACATGATATCAGGTTGATACAGTTGCTTAACAGAAAAAGACAGTGATTTTACAATTTTTGATAACACAGTGTAGCAGTGGTGACTGCAACATTCATGAGGAGGTGAGTCTGTCTTTAGTGGTGCATCCAGTTTCTTGAAACTGTGAAGCACCTATCCTGCCCCTGTGCCTTTTCCCTAGATAGAAAATCACTGCAGTTGCACAGCTTGTGCAGTTAACACTGTCTTCATAAAGAAAAAAGCCATCTGTATATGGGCTTTTCTTTAAACATCTCTGTGTACACTTAGGCTCTGACTCGAGATCAGTGGATGCTCCCACCTGCCTGGGCACCAGCTTTGTGCCCCTTTCTCACAGAGATGGAGCTATAGAGTTTTTAAGCTGGCAGGGACCGCATGGGTCACTTGAGTCCAGTTGCCTGTTGAAGCAGGAGGGAGTCCACTGCTAAAGTGTCCCTGACAAATGGTCCCCCAACCTTTGTTTTAGTAAAGGAGACTCTTCCCCCACTTCTTATTTAGTCTGTTCCACTGTCAAATATAGGTAATGCTCTGATGTTTGATCATAATGTTGCATTTCTTAGAGGACTTACCATGATATCTATGTAGGCTGCCTCCCAACTTGTGGATAGTTTTTGCTGCCTACGCAGTACAGCCTTTAGGAGGCAGCAGTGATCTAGCCCATAGTTAGGGTCTGCACATAACACAGCAGCAAAGATGTATACTTATATCTGGATGAACCTAAGTGCTTTATTGGGCCAGTTAGTCATTTAAATTGGCATGTGATGTCACTTTTCTCTCTATCAAATCCCTCCTCAAGGTCCACGTTTTATGCAAAGCCGTGGCAAACCCAAGAATAATGAATGGAAGAATACACAGTATTAATTAGGTTTTGGTTTTATGTATGTAAAGCTTTAGTGCAAATATGATTCTAAGGAACACAGACTGTTGCTCCCTGTAGCCCAGTACTGTATTACCAATTCTGAATGGCTGTTTCAGCAGCTTTCCAGAGTTTCTGGCAGGATTGTTTCAAAGCCCTACCGTAGGATTCCCTGGTGGCGTCCAGGCATTAGCCGGGCAGGGTGGTGGTAGTGGTGATGATGATAATGATGATGTTTGCCTGTGAAGACAAAATGAATGCCAGTGTGGCATTTGTTCCAGAAGCAGTATTACTGAACTGGTACACAAGTTAATACAGTATTTAAAGTTCAACAAGACGTCTTCAGAACTCAGTAGGATATTTTGCTATTGTTTGAATTCTGTGTATCTGCTACAATTTAACTTATTCTCCCCCAAAATGTTGAAGAAATGTTGTTAGTTGCCTGGCAAGGTGTTATTTGGAGGGCTGTTGTATGTGCCTGATCCTAACAGAGTCGATACCTGCCCCTTGCGGAAAGTGGTGACATTCAAAGACATTGTCAGAACAATGAGAAAATGCCCAGGACAGCCACTCTCCCTAGCCATCGCTATTCCTGCAATTTGTAATCGAAATCTCTGATTCTAAAGAGGGTAACATCATGGAGGTGGTGGTGAATTTCCAGCACTTCACTAGTGAAAGACAAAAATTAGTATGTGGCTTAACCCTTTCTCTTCAATAGTTTTTCTGCTCAGCTGTCATTTTCCCCCTTCTCCAATCACCCTGAATATTTCCTGTAGTTTATCAATATGTGCACAGGTTCCTGAATTAGAGTATTTTAATGGAAAATAGCTGGCAGGAAATGAGTTAAATACTCTTATATTCTCACTGTGCCTCCTGACAAAAAATGCAGCTCCTGGAGAGTGCTGTTCATTAATGTAGTGCACCATTGCATGTAAAGTTTGATGTAGCAAGAGAGTCTTGTCACGCGTTACGTGTTCATGTTAATTCAGTCTTGTGAGTGAGGCCTTGGTCACACGAGGGAATTGTTACGTAGTTATCCACCCGTTATGTTGGTATTGTTTTCCTGGTCACACGACGCAGAGTCAAAACCAAGACATTTTCCCGGCTAGCAGGGTAACTGCAAAATATTTCCCCATCACCAAGTGGGGTGTGTTATTTTATACTTTTGTTGTACCGGTGCATTCCTAACCTGAATTGCCTGTGTGCATGACCTGCCTCGCTTCCTTTCAGAATCGAAGCCAGGAAAGTGGCCACCATTACTGAGGCATGCACCCTAATTTTTTAAAAAATTCATACCCAGTACGTCAATATGTTGGTAAAAGTATGTCCCGGAACAGGCGCCGCCATTATAGTACTGGCGAGTAATACTATTTTTTTCCCTATGAGAAGATACATTGAAACATTAGTATGCCAGTGTCATGGTGGGGGTATGGGGAGATGTGATTGCCAGTACTGCTTGCGTAGATATCCCAAGTCCATTGTGTGCGATGCATTTCTGCAGGAACAGCCAGTGTAACAAAGGGAGACTTTGCTAAACAGAAACTCCTTCCCAATCAATGTTCCCTCTCTTTTCCACCTCCCCGGTGTGTGGGTCTGCTGCCTCCTATGGGGCTCCGTTGTGACAGGAACAAAAGGGGCTGGAAACAATAGCTCTGGGTGCATGGGGAGGAAGAAAGCTGTGCGGGGGATGCAGTCAAGAGCGATTGCGCAGTCACACACCTTAGAGGGAAAGTTGTTTCTAATATATAAACACTTATTGATACATCAATATATAAAAGAACCACAAAACAACCAAGTCTGTAGCCAAGTCTGGAGGCAGAGTCACTGTACAGACACACATAAACCTTACAAAGGATTTTTTTTTCATGGCTGAGATTTGAATGTGTTTTACGAATGATAACAAACTATAAACAAACGAGAGAATTGAAAGTGTGTTGAAATAATTAGACCCTGGATTAATCAGTTAGTTGATTATCAGTCAACTAAAGGGTAAGTGATAAAAATTTGGAGCCTTCCTTTGGGATGCTGAAAATTGTTACGGTTACTATTAAGTGAACTTGCCAGAAGGGGGCAGAGAATAGTAGTACGTACATAGTTGGCAGAATTGCCAGGAATAGCAGAATGGAGATGTACAGGAGCAACTAGTTCTTAAGAGACTGCAGAAATGACCAGTCAGGAAGAAGTAAAATAACAAACCCCTTTCCTTTTCCTTTTTTAGAGGAGGAAAATAAGTGGCAAATAACTAAATTTAAGAAGATATTGTTTAGAGTTGCTTCTGTAAAGCTTAATCTTTGTAGTGCAGCTTGAGGCCTCTGCTGTCCTGCAGCTGGTTTGGTCTGGTGCTAATCCAGAATGAATGCACAAGAAAGGTATCTCCTGCATATATTGATATGCTAACCATCAGCTCCAGACATTTTCCCCCATGCCAGCTTATGGTAGATTCAGTAAATAAAGGCAATACTGTATTTTACTTGCATCTAAACTAATACCTTTTAATCCCCAGCTAGCTTCTTACGCTCAAACCTACATCACACTGGACTTCTGTGAAAGAGTCTTAGGTTACATCAGCTCTTAGTTTGGCTCTCAGTTTAATACTTGGAGCGCTCCATGAGTTGATTGTAAACATAGGCTTCACCAAGGCCTTAAAGGATAAAAAACCTATAGTTTGGAGCCCAAGAGTTCATTTAGTGGCTGAAATCCTGTTGTGCACCTTGCTGTGCAAGGCTGTTAAGACCATCATCGGTGGTTGTTTTTCAGAAATGAAAAATTTTAGGCACCTACCTACCCCCCTCCAAAGTTCCAAAGTTCCCTTTTTTTTTGCGAAGGGAGATCTTTTTCTGAAGCTCACCACTGCTGGGATGATTTTAGTGGTGGTGGTGATTTTTAGAAATTTAAGACTCCCAAACCAAATCTCATGACCTCAACAGATTTCCCATAAAACCATTGGAGTACTTCAGTGGGAGGGAAAGGGAATTTTATTTGCTGCAGCTGATGATTCCATCAGCCTTATGCATCATAAAGTGCAACAGGATTCCATCA